TGGGGAATAAACTACTTGATACAATATCTTTCTCTCTCTTCCCCTCCCTCTCTCCCTCTTTCCTTCCTTACTTTCTCCTCATCCCCTCCCTCCTACCCTCCCTCCCCCTCTCCACAAAGAGCCTACTCATCTTCCAATCTGATTTTTCTTCTTGCCAAAATGTCTTCTAATGACTCTACTTATCAGAAAATGTGGAAGAAGGAAGATAAATTTGAAGTTTGTAAACACTTGAATGTCCAATAAATATTTTTATCACATAACACTTTGTTTAAAGTTTGGGAATATTCTGTCTATGAGTCTAACACCTCTTTTATTAGGAGTGTGTACAATTTCTATTGGTGATATTTGGAAATGTTCAGGACATAGTTTAGCTAGCTGTTTCATATAGATTTAAGAGATATGTAATTGGCAAATATAAGGAAAGAAAAACACTTACAACTGTCTTAACATTTAATTTCTTTCTATTCCAATCCAAGTTCTGTTGACAATGGAGAAAAAGACATAAACATGCGAACAGTTTGTAAAAGAACCCTAATATCATAATTGCTTCAAACATAGGACCAATCTCTATTTCCAAGTTCTCCCTCCCCTACACAGAATCTTGAACTAAAGAAACTTTAGAGATTGAGTAACCAGCTACATTCAGTGTCCTTTAATACAACGTCTTTCACTTCCTGGAAGGATGGTAAGGTCTGCAACCTTGAAAGTGGCTGTGCCTTAGCTCTAGAATGTGTCCTTAAAAGGCATGAGAAACTTCTTCATTGAGCCAGCTATGAAATCCTTTGTTGATACTACTTTCAAATTATGGCTCTATCTCAGTATCAAATTTTATTTCCCAAATTTACTGATAGTCTGTAATATCTTTTTAATGTTGAATCCATAAAGGACCCTTAGGATGGACCTCCTAAGCTTTCACATGATGATAGTATCTTGCCACTTAATCTTAACACTTTTGTACAATTACAATGGCATGTTTTAAGCATGACAAACTCATTTTCTTTTTTTGATGCAGCACTGCATGTATCTTTATCCAGATACCAAAAAAAATGTTTAAAACAGAAATTTGGGAATCTGAATGACAACCTATATTTATTGCTAACGTAGCCATGGACTGTGCTTCAGCTTAAGTTCACAAATCAGCTTTTAAATAACCCCAGTATAATTGCTGCTGACCTCTCTCTTTCAGGTTAGGATTCCATGCTTTAAAAAATTCAAAGGTCAATGAAACCACAAAATCTAGTTCCAGAGGGAATTTTTAGACATTAGTATTTTGCTAAACACAAAAAAGTACATTCTAAGTCTGTTTCTCTATATGCATTCTCCCACCAAAATGTAATTTCACACTATGTTCAACATACTAGCTAAAATATTTCTGATGGTTGTCAAGAACCAATGAATATGTGTGTGTTCACTTGTCTCTTTAAAACATAAGCTTGGCTTTATGGCAACGGTAGAGAAAATGAACTCCTAGTTCAATCTGAGGATGATTCAATGAATTTGTCATCAATATGCTTCTGAAGACATATTCTGTTACTACCAGTTAAAAGATACAGGAAAGGAGAACAGCATTTAAAAGCAGAACTACAAATAACTCTTTTATTGAGAGTTTCTTATGGTGCCTAAAGAAAAATAGGACAAGCATTTTCATAGATTGTCTCCCAGTGTTTTTTTAGAAGATGGATGCTTGTACTCTACATTATAAAATTTGGCAGAGGTTCATTTGATGATCATATTCTTAGAAATCAAATGTAAAGAAAAGTGTAAACTATTTATTCTCTAGGTTGGTATTAATACTCTCCGTGATGACACTCAAATAACTTTGGCAGCATTCAGAGTACTTGGCAGTTTCTACAAAATATGTCAAGGAACACGTACAACATCATTACACCACATCATGTCATATTCTTCTAAAACACAAATATTGAAGTTTCATCACATGCTACTGTAGAACACTGCTATGGCAACATCTTTGCAGGTTCCTGAGATCCTTTCAAAAGTATGATCTAATCAGCACAAAAGGAAATAAAATATCCTTATTACCGTGGATATAATTACCTAGCTGGCAAAGTAAGATTGGTACTGCATATACATTAAAATAAGTTTGTTTAGTGAAACTAGATGTTCTGTTTCAGCCCAGCTTATATGTTTAAGGAAATTTAGGAACAATAAGAAAATGCAGCTCAACTACCTCTTGTGTTTATTGTTACTTGTTTCTTTACAGTTAAAAAGGGAATGTTTGAGACTGGAGTTGTGGCTGTGTGAATTAAGCTGTTGCCTGCAATGCTGTCATCCCATATGAGCACCAGTTTGAGTCTCAGATGCTCCACTTCCAATGTAACTCTGAAAATGTGCATAGAAAAGCAGCAGAAGATGGCCCAAGTGTGTCGGCCCCCGCCACTCATGTGGAAATCTCAGATTCAGATGGAGTTCCAGTCTCCTTTGCTTTTGTGACCATTTTGAGAGTGCCAGAAGATGGAATATTCTCTCTCTCTTTCTCTCTCTCCTTCCCTCCCTCCCCCTCCACTCTCACAATGGTGCCTTCCAATTAAATAAATAAATTTTATTAACTCAAGAAACTTAACAACAAGAAAAAAAATAATCCAGTTAAGAAATGGGAAAAGCACTTGAACAAGCATCTTTCAAAAGAGAAATTCAAATGGCCAACAGATCCTTGAAAAAAAAGCATGGTAACTATCAGGGAAATGCAAATCAAAAAGCTAGAATGAGGTTGTACATCATCCCCAGTTAGAATGGCTGTTATATAGAAATAAACAAACAATAAATGTTGGTGAGGATGTAGGGAAAAAGATATCCTAATCAACTATTAGTGGGAATGCAAACTGGTGCAGCCATTATGAAAGATAGCATGGAATTACCTCAGAAATCTGAAAATATATCTACCATATGACCCAGCAATCCCTCTCCTGGGAATTTACCCAAACAAAATCAAATCAGCAGGTGAAAGAGTTATCTGTTTCCCCACTCCTGGGAATTTATCCAAACCAAAAGAAATCAGCATAGTAAAGATTTATCTGCATTCCCATGTTCACTTCAACTCAATTCACAAAGGTAAGTTATGGAATCAACCCAGATATCCATCAACTGAAGACTAGATAAAGAAATTATGGTGTTTACACACTATGGAATATTACTTGGCAGTAAAAAAAAAAGAATGAAACCCTATCTTTTGCAACAAAATTGGTGCAACTGGAAGCCATTATACTTAGTGAAAGAAGCCACTCCCAAAAAGATAAATACCATATGTTTTCAGTGATCTGTGGTAACTAATAGATTACCCAAAATATAATGTATAGGAGTTAAATTGGCATTTTGAGATTCAATGATTGTTTATAGCTCTTGTCTCTACTGTTGAGGAACAGTGTTTTTTTTTTTTTCTTCATACTATTTGTTGAATTCTTTACTTACAGTAATATTCATTTAATGAGTATAAAGTAAACTGCAAAGAGATCTTTGTAAAAATTAAGAGTGGGAATAGGAGAGGGAGGAGGAAGAAGGGTGGGGGCATGGGTGCAAGGAATCACTATGTTTCTAAAACTGTATGTGTAGTACTTGAAATTTGTAGATCCCAAATAAAATGTTTTTAAAAAGTTTTTCATTGCAGAGCATTTAGAAGAATGCAGGATTTTTTTATTAATTAAAACAGTTAATAATAAGTAACACACATTTCTAAATTTGGAATTAGATCCTTTTTTGTAAAAGCATTTTCATTTTTTTCTACAGAAATACTTATAATTTATATCCAATTCATTTAAGCATACTAACTCTGAAATTCTACATTTTGATTATTAATATGGGTTGATTTTAAATTATCAAAATGTTCACATTTTTGTGACTACTTAACATTGCAAATGTTCAATGAAGACACTTAAGTTTATTTAAACAGAGGCCAAAAATACTGACTGATTACAATGAATGGGAAAGAAAATGTAAGTTTTTGTCAATTCTTCAAATAGCAAAAGAACTGTATGTAATGCAACATAATAGACCCATGATGAAGTCAGCTGATGCAAATATTACATAAATTATAGAAGTTTTCAAGGAACATGTAGTTTGAATTACAGGGAAAGAAAAGTCATTATCTAAAAAAGCTACTAGAGATAATCCTTCTTAAAAACACAAAAATGGAAGAAAACATTGTTTAAAGTAGAAAGGAAGTACAAACAAACAAGCTCCACAGTAACCCTATCATGGAATCAGTAGGCAAAATGCATGACAGATTTATTCACATACTTTGAATGGTTTGCAGTCTAAACAGAGCCCAACAATATTACCATTTTGTGCTACATAACAGAGGAGGAGATTTAAAATCTTCATATATTACAATTCAGATAGGAAAGGAGAGTGCTGTAGAACAGAAACATTGATGATATCTACCTTTGGTTTTGACAAGAAATAATATATCTTTAAGATATGAATTAGGTGTTGGTTGCTAACTGCTTCAGATGGAGTGAAAATTTATACCTATTCCTCCACTTTGGATCTTGTGGCATGTTCTTTTTTTCCAAGCACTTTCAGTTTTCCTGTTAATCTCTCACAGTCACCATGTCTAATCAGCTAAGTTTAGAACATTGAAATCAGCAAAGTGACACATTGCAGTGAACTTTTTTTGTAAAAAACACTTTGTGTTTCAGTTATATGGCCACATGTATGATAATCATCTCTACCCATCCACAAGGAAAAGCTCCAATTCTAATCTGGATACCTTTTTGGGCTGACTCTGAATTCAGTAATTTCTTCTTAATCAAAACTAAACATTTCTACTCATTGGAATAGAAAATCCATATTCTCATAACATAATCCTAGTAAAAAAAAATCCAGGTAATGACATAATGCAAATCTATACAGAGAAAAAATTGAAGAGAACTGTTTATGGATGTAAGATGAAGCTTCCATTTAGATATTCTAATCTTCACAATTTGCTCATGAAAATTCAAAGAAACCTGTTAATAAGACATTCATAAAACATAAACCTCACTCACCATTCCGACTTTCTTCATCTATAGCAACTATGGTAGCTGGTGGTCCTCCCCTAGCTAGTTTGCAATCTAAAGAGAGAAAATAACCAAAAGGATGAATTAACAACTATAAGGCCACTCATTCTGTAATCAAATTCATTGAGATGAACATTAACATGTACAAAGAAGAGTAATATAACAAAATTAGCTTGCACTATTACTTTTAACACTGTATTATTTAAAAAATAGGAAGAATAAGCTAGATACCTTAAAGCATTGTAGCAAAGTCACTTTGTATACCACAGAATCATTCAAATCTTACTGAAAAACACCAGCAGAGATGACTGGAGAACAGAAGTCCTTTAGGACAGAGATAATGGGATGGTAATTTAACCCACAGAAATAACATAAAGGGATGATTAACAAGGATAAATTGTAATTAAAGCTTCACAACAGAAACAAACATAATTGGACTTTAATTGTGATAAAAGGTCTAATTAAAGAGAGTGAATAGAATTTTAATAAAGTTCTACAGAGACTAAAACAAAGACAGACAAGCAATGCTCATGAGGTTGTTTGTGATTTTTATTTTTATCATCTTACCCTCATATTGCCAGTCTGCAGTCAAAAGTATAGAGTCATCAATGAAGCAGATCAGAAAAGTGGAGGAAAGAAAGGAAGAAAGAATATATGTATATATTTAGTCAGAAGTTTCAAGATATAAAAAACCATTAAACAATACCACATACATCACCTAATGACTTGTGAAAATGGAATACACAAAATCTTTCTATCAAATTTTGTAATGCTAATTTAATACTAGCACTTAATTTGAGAACTTACATCAATGGCATTTTAGAAACTAATATGGATGAAAACAAGATACATTTAAATGTTTCTTATGGGAAGAAACATACAAATTCCTTAAGAAAAATTTATTATTCCTATCATGAAAAATTATGCAGAACAGCACCTGCCAATCGGTAGTGATGACTAATTCATTATTGCAAATACTGTTAATACCCTGCCAAGTATCTCATGGTAATGAATATAAAAATAGTGTCATGAGCATTAACATCCATGACAATTAAAATGTGAAGGTTTTGCTGGCAAGACATCCAGAGCACATTTCAGGGATATAATCCACTCTCCCAGGAGGTACTCACTAAAGATGAAAGGGCCATGTTATGCAGCTATATACAGGGCACCCTCTTGAAGAACAGCACAAATTAACTTTGTTTAAAGCCATCCAAATATGTGTGTTATGTGGAAGAGGATTTCAAGGGTTAATTATCTGTTTATAAAAAGGCTGCCACTTGTTATGCATATGCTATGAATAACAAGGCCTTTGTTCTATTTTGTGAGGCATGTACTTTCTCATATGAAGTAAGGAAACTCAAAAAGCTACAGTTTTTCTCCCTTTGTACTCATCAATATTCAAAGAGTTCTGACTCATTCTATTTTCAGATCTAATATCTTATACTCATTACACTCCTTGTTCTTCCTATACCTCTTGACATGGCCCAGTTCCTCTCTGTCACCTTGCATCATCACTAGTCTCCCAAAAATACTGTTCTTATTCTGTATTCATGCATTTGCATCATGGCAATTACCTTCCATGCACCCAAAATCAAAGGGAAAACCTTCCCTTTTCTGTGCAAAAATTATATATATATTTTCTCTGGAGTTAAAAAAATTTGGAGTGTGGGTGTTTGGTACAGTGGTTAAGACACTGTTTGGGATGCTTGCATCCCCTACCGAATGACATGCTTTCAATTTGACTCCACTGTAATTCCAGCTTCTTGCTAATGTGCACCCTGGGAAGGTGATGACTCAAGTAGTTGAGTCCCTGTCTTGTGAAAGACCTGGATACAGTTTCAGGCTCCTGAGCTCAGCATGGTCAAACTTGGCATTATGGGCATTTGGGGAGTGAACAAACTGATTGAAGACTGGTCTCTCTCTCCCTCTCTCTTCCTTCCTCCCTCCTTACCTCCTTAGTTTGCAAATTAATAAAAATAATAAATGAAAAAATTTCTTAGGAACTTCAACATTTTTCATGAAAAGACTCCAACATCCTTAATAGAATTCAACAGCCTACCCTTTGGTCACATTAAACTCCTTACTTGGTGGGATGTACCTTGTAGTTTTAAGAGTTTTCTTACCTTGAATAATTTTTTCTTTGATATCTGCCTGGCAAATCTGTACTTTCCATTGTAGAATTGGGTATTTCACCTATTTCATGAAATCCTTATAATATCTCCCATTAAGAAATTATATTTCATTCTCACACTCCCCTTATATTTTGTGTAGGTTTTCCTTCTTTATGCATTCAAAATTCACTCATTCATTCAACTAGTAGATTAGTCACTATGGAATGAACAGGGGTGTCTAGCCCAGCATTTAAACACTGATTAAGCAACCAGTTTCCCATATTAGAGTGCCTAGGTTCCACATCCAGCTCCAGCACCAGACCCCAGGTTCCCCCTAAAACATAGGTAGGAGGTAATGGCTCCTGTAGATGGGTCCTGTACCAATTTGGGAAACTGAGTTCCCAGCTTCAGCCCAGACTAACCCCATCTGTTGGGGTGCTTGGGGAGTGAACCAATGGATGAGAACTCTTTCTGTCTGTATGTCTGTCTGTTGGTCTGTCTCCCACTCAAATCAATACATTTTTAAAATAGTAAAAATATCATCAACTTCTTTCTTCAATGATCTCGGGTGGAAGGGGCAGAAAGCAGATCAAAAACACAAAACCAACCATACAGGTCCAGGATAATATGGCATACATGGAGGCAATTCTGTCGTAAATTTATTAACACAAATGACTAAAACGAACAATATATTTGATGAGTGGGAACAGAAAGCGTTTACACCAGAGTGAACTTATCTCTTAATTCAATCCCCCCCACCCAAAATTGAAGTATTTTCATTTTAACGTTAAGGATAGAGATTTTTCCTAAGCCAAATTAAAAATATACATCTCCGCATTCCTGCATAACTTTCCCACAGTTTCATTTTCATAGTTCACTCTCAAGCCACACCAAGTCAAATTTTTGTTTGCTGCACCATCTGCTGAAACATACCACCGCTTCTTCCACCAGTTAGTTTTACTTTCTTTCAAAAACTTGCCAAGGCACGGTCTCTTTCAAAAAACCAACTATATTGCCATTCAGGATTAAATGATTCTCCACCATATTTCTGCAGTGCAAATCATATTCCACAGGGTTAATTACCTCACTGGGAAAACAGCACTGTGTCTTTCTCTCCCAACAAAGGCCAAGTTTGTGCCACAGTCACCCTGGTGCCCTCAGAGCCTAGGAGAGCTGATCTTGAAAGAGCATCTGGGGAATTTTTCTCAACAGTAATGGATCCAGCTAAAGTTTCCCACTGAACATCCGTTCAGGAGCGGTACATTCCATTGTCCTCTTTATATCCTTATCAGCAGAAACAGCCTAGGAGCTGAAGCTCAAACAAATTTCCTCCTGGTCAAAACCCTTTAGAAACTCTCACTAAGCTTTATGCTTCTAGCAGGTTCCAAATTTCTCCAATAATGCATTTTTATGTACAACTGATATTTCTGAATCAGTTCAAAAATCTTTTTTAGAAATTCAGAACTAATGAAGAAACTGTCTGATATAAAAAAATCCATTAATAACATTGTTCATAACAGCCAAGCATAAGCATTTGTTTTGAAAAGATGCATTCATGAAAGTATAATCACTTTGGTTTGAAAGGAACAAAAACTTTTTAATAGCAATTAAATTAGAATTGTCTTGAGAACAAAGTTATTCAGGTTGGACTAGCCAAGGATGTATTATGCATGTAAAATATCCAAATAGAGATCAAAGTGAATACTAGAAATCAATTCGGGGATGGTGATCCTGTTCTCTACGGTCTGAGGATAATCTGGCTGCCACAGGAGAGACAGGTTAGCTGCTGGCATCTGTACCTTGGAAATGGCCCTCCTTAATCTATTTAATTTCACCCTTGACTGTCCTGGTTAAATCACAAATTCATTGTTTTCATGGCTAAAATTGCTAGCCTTTTAGGCCTCTTTCCTTTTCTAATATTCAATTTGTTGCAAAGAACAGGATATGAATATCAATACCTGAATATTCAGTGTGGCTTATTTTGGCAAATTTGTCATCAAGCTAAAATTATACCACACAATTTCACATAATCTTATAAAAGATTGGATTTAAAGCCCAAAAACCAAGTACCAGAAAGATGTGTAATGACTGTTTGTTAAGATACTCAATGCGTAACGTTTTGTGCTTGTTGTAGTCTAAAGCCCAAGACATGGTGCAGACTAGTCAGACAAATTGCATCCGTTTAAGGTCACATAGTGTGTTTTTAATAAAGCTTGCATGCTATTTACCTTTTTCACATCTTAGCATCGGCATCTCTGTCAGTGACTTGTGCTTTATAATTCCTACTCAATCCTTTCAGTGAATCTGTTTCCCAATACTCAGACAACACCATAAATTGCAGTTTGAAAGTAGCCCTCCAAAATCTAATTCTAGTTGCTAATGCCAGACCAATTGTGACCTGTTTCAGTAAATGGCAAAGATCTGCACCAAATGGTATAAATCAGAAACCAGGAACGTACCTTTGACCCTAGCAATCTTCTTAGCTTCCCTATATTGAATTCAACAATAAGTCTGAATAATTCCTAAAGAAAAATGTCTTGTTTCTATCCACTACTCTCAATCTCCAGTAGCACCATACTAACCCAGTCTCTCACAAAATCACAGATGTTTTCTTACCTAATATCCCTTCAGGTACTCTTACTACCTGCTCTTTAATTTTCTATCTTTATACAGATTTTACAAAGAAAATCTTGCTTGCTTAACTTTTAATGATTTCCCATTTATTGCAGGCTGAAAACTAAAATATGTTTTGCAGTCTTCAACTCACCACACAATCTGACTTTAGAATGAAGACCAAAAGACTTTACACGGCCTACAAGGCCTGCATAATGCAGTCTTCTCCCTCTCCTGTCTCATCTACATTCAAGCTCTGACTTGCTCCTAGCATTGCAGACAGATTTTTTAAAAGTTTTCCTTAATTACTCTATTCTCCACCCAGAG